GAGGCCATCGCTATTAGGTTGGAGGCCATTCCTACTAGTAACAAGAAACTATTAGGTGCCATTACTCCTAGTAGCAAGGACGCTACTAGTAGCTAAGTGCATTGCTAGTCTAGGCCGCTGGTCTCGTGGCAGTTGATGGCTGGTGTAAAACAGCTACCAGAGTGAACATTGGGCGTCTCCAACTGCCCTTGGCAGGCAACCGTGCAGGGCCAGCGAAGCCTATTTTTGGGAAAATACAAAAATACATATTACACTCCTAATCTGGAGTATGGTTTGCCAAGCTAAGCCTTGGCTGAGCTACGGTACAGTATATACCGGCTATCCTAGCTACTCCTAATTTGGATGGTTTACCTGGCTAAGCTACTTGGCTGATCTGAAAAAGAACAAAGAAACAAACTGCCAAAAGTGGTCGCCCCGTTGCCAATCTAAAGCACTTGAATTGAGCGGCCTCACCACCGCAGAACCACAAAACCCAAAAACTCTTTGAGTGCGCCTCCACCTTCGCCAGCACCTCACAGATCTCCGGATCCAAGGATTGGACCTGCGGCAGCGACGTCACGAGCGGTCAGCCAAAGGAGAATTCAAAACAAAGGCAGAGTGAAGCCCTGAAGCCAGGAGCAATTTTCGCTACTAGGGGCTCCTGGCATCGCTACGAATGGAGCAAGGACGCTACTAGGGGCTCCTGGCCTTACTACTAGGAGCAAGAAGCTACTAGGAGCTTTTTGCTAAGATCTTCTCCCAAGATGGATCTGTTCGCTTGTGAGTGAAGCAGAAGGAACTGGATGCATGGACGGTAGCTCAACAACATGCGAGGCGAGCTCCTCTGGTTATCACCCTGATCCTGGTGTTTCTCTTTTTTGGTGGTTTTGCCACCGTGACCCAACATTTTCGCTCGCAACCTCTCATTTTGGAGGCACAGCGGCCCTGACAAGTCCACCCTCCTGTGTCACACCAGCCATCATCTGGGGGTTCCGTCTCCGAACCACGTGAACCCACAGGCCAGTTGAATCACCTATTGATCTCTATATCACAATTGATCCACTCTCTCCTGCCGGCGACGCGGCAACCAATGACCTCTGCGTCATTCAGATCAAGCTGCACCTTGGACCAGCAAGAGGCAGTCAAGACTGAAGACTCGACCAGAACGCCCATCCCCACCAGAACGGCCTTCCGTCGAACAGCTGCTCCATGTTGTGGGCTCTTAGCTTGAGCACACTATTCGTTTTTAATGTCACTGCCACGGGAACATTTTATCATGGAGTCATGGAGTCATGGAGGTGAGAACAGTGATCTTCTACCCAGGGGGGCAGACCCCATCAACAGAGGATACAATGTCTTGAACAACTCTGGGGGCCGCGCAAACTCATCGAAGTCTGTTCTGAGGGTTCAACCCCAGTACCAACAAGAGAGTATCCTGACAGACTTGAGCCCTGTTTGTAACAACTCTTTTCCACCACCTCACCACCTCGGCACTGCGCACTGCGCACACGCGCCACCCCGCCTCGCACGCCGAAGCGGTCTCGGAAGAGTCATCGCTCGCCGAAGACTTCATCACGAAGAGACGGCCGGGCGCGCTCCAGCGCGGTGATCCCCGATCGATGGAAACGGATGTTCCGCACCCCATGGATGTTTGGAGGGTTCGCAAAAAGAAACGTTCCAACCGGTGCCCAGCAAAAGGATCCATGAAAACTGGAGAACAACATGTGTACAAATTTTGTAAGATAGAAAAACATGTGTACCGTAATAGTTGCATTTGTACTGTGTGTAGTGTGTTGTAAGGCAACTGTGAAAGGGACAAGGATTGGATCAAAATGGAGTGGAGTCTCACCTTTGGTCCTCGGTGGAAAGTCGAAATCCATTCTGCATGTTTGGACCTAACTTTTAGCTTGTGAACCTAAAATCGAAGGACGGAACACCCCGCATGTTCTCTCGACACAGAACGGAAGGATCTGTCTACAATGTGAAGAAATCAGAACACGGTGCAATGATACTGCAAACAAATCGCACGTTGGAACATGTTTTCTCAACTTGCCGGAAACAAGGACGCCCCAAACAAGGAACCCGTGTTAAAGAGTCAAAACCTAGGCTTCTTGGTTTCCACTGAAAACCAGGTGACTGCAGCAGCATCTCCCTTCTTTTGCAGCGAAAAGGATTCGGGCACCACCTGCAATCGAGCGGTGGGCGAACGAAGCTCGAACGGTCTACATTCTGCCGACATGTGCGCGCAGTCCATTCTCTTTGCGTTCAATCATCATGTTTTTTGCATGTCTTTGCTCTGTCAATCAGTCAATCTTATCAATCCTGCAATTCGAAATATATCCGATACCAACGAATACCAATCACACCCGCTGGGAACCAGTTGGTGACAATCCTCATCATTGATCAAAAGGAGTGGACATGGGCACTTGGTGACACCATTGAACCTTTTTGGCATCACTCGCATCACCAAGGCATAAGGTGCATTTTGGACCACCCTTTTTTGTTCGCTCTCCCCCGGCAGGCTCCCCCCACACCCCGAATACTCACTTTATTATACTTTGTTCGCCCATCAAGCACTTCAGTCTAGCCTTGGGGGACACTGCACAAACAAATAAACTACGTTTGAGCCCATTTGACGTCATATTGGTCACCGAAACTACATGTAGGGAAAAAACGCCTGGCACTCCAATCTACGTAGAATCTACCATCCCTACAAGGGTTCGGCAGAGCCGTCACAGTGTTGCTGTTGTCAATAAGCATCAACCCATGCGGCCTACAGGTCCCGGTCGAAAGCCGGCAGATCAACAGCCAGACTATTTGGTACGACAACTTGAATCAAGGGCCGCTTGCAATTGAACAAGTGGTGCCATGGAGATTCGTTAATAAACAGGCCTTTCCCATATGTTTAAGCCAAAACAGTGACTTCCAAAGACACGGCCACTTGCAAATGAAAAAGCGTTTTAAAAGAAAGCATGACGTTCTTTTTGCTCCCCTCTCCCTGCCCTCAGCGGTGTTGTCTCACAGCGCAGAAACCTGCCAAACACGCTACTTTTCCCTGGTCCTGACTCAAAAACTGGTTGTAACGTAAAGGCCGGGAGCTCGCCTGCGACAACACCTCCCGGCTCGCCTCAGCGAAGTCCCTAGGACCGCCGCTTGCGACCTGGAGCGCACGAACATTAGAGCTGTGAGACTCACCAATTCGGATGATCTATGGTTCGCACGTACCAACTACAGTATCTCCAAGAAGAAACCCACCTGGGCCCCCGAAGAAACCCAAGCCTCCGGAAGCCGCCGCCACACGAGTCCGATCGGCGACCTGCAGAGTCCGGGTTGGCGTAAGGCGTAAGTAGCGGCGTAGACCCTCTTTTGATGTCCGACATGGACCCAAGAGACATGAAAAGCGAGCGAGGCTGAAAAGGAGAAGTCTTGAGTCCAACTCTGAGCTTTTCGAGTAGTAACTTTTTGTTGCAAGGCACTGCAGTCATTTGTTGGTATATATCACACAGGCCATTCATGCAATGCATGGGACTTCGGCATTGATCGAAGCTCTGGATTCGGATACACGTGCGGTTGAAGTGTTGAAGGGAATCCCCACATCCCCAACCTGGACATTCTGGCAAATCCACTCCCACCATGTCTCCGCGCCTTGGCTTTGGACTTCACACCATATGGCACTCCTTCGGGCAAATCCTCCTGCGAGACGCTGCGCAAACGTCACACGGTCACCAGAAAAAAGCCGATGTCACTCGCCTTGCTGAAGACCCAAATTATCTGGAGTCTTCCTCTGCCGCTTCATCTCATCAGGATGAAAGTACTTCAACAGGCCGTCGACGTGTGTATGATAAATTCTTTTTCACGTCTGCCGTCTGACTTTGGAAGCCAGAGCAATTTCGACGCAACGACCATGCTTCGAATGCTATTTCTATGCCCAATATGCTGCATTTTTTTGGGGGGGAAGGGCGATCACGACTTCCTCATCATTCTGCAAAGCCATCTGTGATGGTGTGATGGAAAATGGGCTTCGACCAACTCAGCACTGCCTAGCTGAGTGTTTCACTCCTCCACGGTATCTCTTCGGAAGGATCTTGTCTCCATACCTCACTCGTCTGTGCTGAGACCTTCGCACATCACTGTATTAATGACTCTCACGCCACTCCAAACCATATCCCACACCGCCAAGAAACGATCCACATAAAGGACACCTTCCAAAATGTCCACCGTGTGCTGCAACTGCCGAGCCTCCAACAAAGGTCCACACATGGGAACTGCTGTGAGCCACACAGGCTTGGCTTGGAGGGTTTCAAGGAAAGGACACAAACTATGCAACAAAGGTCAGGTGCCGGTGTTGGTTCTTTGCTGTCTGAAAAATGGGAAACATGACCAATCCTCAGCAAACCCCTTTCAATTCCAGCTCACTCCACCTTTTTGCCCCCAATTGGCTCGTGCCCTGCCTGCCATCCCTTGGCGCTGAAGCTCACGCGGCGTCCCTCCTCATTCATCGCCTCCACGGAGACCTCCAGGGGCCGCCCCACTACCGCCTCATAGCCCGGCACACTGGCACACCTCAAAAACAACGACCGTCCACACGATCTTCGGAAAAATGACAAGCACCAAAAATAATGACAGCTTCTAGAGATTCTTAGTAGTGGCAGGTGGGTAGCCCGTGTGACCAAAGTCAAAGATTGGCCATGGTGTTGCAACCAGGACAAATTGCAAGCTGTCAGCGCACCGCCCTTTTTCATCCATGAAAATTGCGGGTTTGGATACCTGCTGGCCGAAAGCCTTTTTCTCCCCAACACCGCGGCGACCAAAACAAGGATGGATGCTCTCAACACAAGTGCCCTCTCAGTTTCAAAAAACTACACCTTCCACGACAGCAGGGAGTCCAAGACTTCCAACGCGAAAATTCCATCGACTCGGGTCGAACAACTGCCGGTGGCTTTGGTCGAACAACTGGTGGATCGACTCTCCAAGCAAAGGGTTGGTACCTGGAAGTGGGTCTAAATGACATGACTAGGACCTTTCACGTAGACTCTTGATTAATCAGACATGGATGGTAAAACATTGTTAAAACCTGTTCTGATGGGGGACAATAAATTTGTCAAGAGTCTACATGACGCTGGTCCGGTATGGTCCGGTATGTCCGGTGGTCTTAGTTTCTGTAAAAAGCCGCCTCGAGCCACCGGCATTGTCCGCCTCATCCTTGCAACTTCCCCAGCTCCGCGCGCAGCCGTCGGGCCGCGTTCAGCGACATGTCCCGGGGCACGCCTGGCGAACACGTCGGATTCTTCGAGTCGATGGAAGACGGCAAACTGTTACTAATAGCTTCTTGTTACTATTAGTAAGGCACTTGTTACTACTAGTAAGGCACCTGTTACTAGAAGCGATGCACTTGTTACTAATAGCTTCTTGTTAATGGATCGGTTTGCACCACACCCAAAGGAACGCGCGGACATGTCGCGGACCCGGTTGAGGTAGGTGTTTTCCTCACCGACCTTCACTTCACAGAGACCATTTGAGGACGGAAATACGCGTGTCTTCGTGTCGCGTGGAAAACTTCCGCACCTACCCGTTGTTGCAAGTATCTCAGGCACTCCGCCAGGTCGGCACCTAAAAACGATTCAATTGCCATCAACAAAAGTGAACTACTACGTGATCCTATGTGATCCTATGTGATCTAACTCTTAAATGTATGCTAACACAGTGGAAAGAAGTGAAACTTAAGACGGGTCAATCAAGGCCCTTCAACGGTTTGATATTGTTTGATACTGCCTGCTGGGGCGCAGAACGAGTGCAAGTGAGTACTGGATGTCACGTGCAATTTCACTTGGTGTCTTCAAGCTGGGTGGCTCTCGGCATCTGCATCTGCAAAAAAACTTGGGGTACCCTGCGCAGGCTTAGATTGGCTGCTCTGCACTGGGTGGCAGATCGACATAAGAAGTCTTGGATGTGGCCCAAACGCATACAGACATTAGTGAACACAATGTATTATGGATGTGCAACATACCAACGCCAACTTTGCACACCCAGGAGACATCATGGAGCTCGCTTGCTGAAAGCCCTAATGAAGCTCATGAGGGGCATTGATCATTGTCAATAATTAGTCATCGTCCTGCCAGTGGTCGGGCGTGGTTGACTATCTATCTTCACGAATGTTGGATACTTCCAAGATCCACCTGTCCATGCACTTACAATTGGTGTGAGACGGACAGATTGATCCTGCAAGACATCATCTTGCTTGGCTGAGCTGACTTGGTACAAGTAGTCCCAGATAGCTATCAGGTGCCTGTGGGTGAAGATCAAGGGGGTTGAAGACTTAACATGACCAATCTTTCTATGGCTGTCTTAAGTTTGATCAGTTGCTCTCTCCGTCAAATTCTTTTGCTCCTGCGTGCCCCCTTGAAGACGGAGTGTTTCAAGTGTTCTCCACTTCCAAAGGGGAGTCTGCAGAGTCACCACTTCCCACGGGGCACCCACCAAACCGAGCCAAGTCACGGTCCTCACGGCCCAAAGAGGCCAAGGACTCCTCCGCTGCCGCCCAGGCGCGCTGCCGCTCGGGCGTGGGCTCATCGCCTCAGCGACGTGTTGTGGTAAGCGGGGGGAGGAAATTTCTATCCAGCTCGAGACTTAGCTATATAACTCACCACCAAGCGCTTCTAGAGGTTGTGGCGATTGTGGCGGTTGTCAAGCTTCAACTACTTTTTGAGCGTGGAAAGTTTGATGTTCACGAATCCAACAAGAATGCAAGAAGGGACTCAAGCCTTGAGAAGGCTTGTTCAAAGAAATCCACAGATATCCACCCTAGATTTGATCGACTGAACCTGTACGATAGTGGAGGTGTCTGATCGCAGATGGCTTCGCAGTCAGCACCCGTCACAGTGATTGTCAACCTCAATGACCAAACAAGGTATGAATTTGCTGTGTGTTCTCAGACCAAACCCCATGCAACAACCTCTAGTCTACATTGCCGTTTGACCCTCATTCACTGGCTTGCCGAAGCACTCAAAGTACTGAACCCAACAGCGATTCCTCCTCTCCTCACCACTCACCCCAAGGCGGTCGGCTGCCTCACCGAGCCACGGTCGGCTGCCTCTGCATCACCCGAAAGCAGCAAATCCACCGCATGCCGCAGGAAACTGGGCACCATGGAGAAGGCTTCGAGGCTTCGTGGAGAAGAGCGAGACCCAACAGGAGCAAGGACGCTACTTACTAGGGGCTCCTGGCCGTACTACTAGGAGCATCCTTACTACTAGTAACAAGGAAGCTACTAGGGGCTCCTGTCATCGCTACTAGGAGCAAGGACGCTACTAGGGGCGGGATAGCAAGACTTTGTTGCGCTTTCAACTGGTTCCAGCGCTCAGTCAACCCAGCCACTGAATGGGGGAGATCCTCTTTCAGAACTTTCAGGTGGAGCAGGATTTTGTTCGTGAAATGATGAAACTAACAAATGCCAAACATTGATGGTACCAAATTGACACTTTGGGATATTTAGTTCAGCTGGGAAAAACCAGATCAAAATGCCCCAAACACCCGTCATGTCAGAGGTCTGGCTCTGATGGCTCTCTACACCAAAACATACATGAGCACGAAACCCAAAATTCACATGACTATGATTGGGGTGTCGCCTAGATGTTCTTTGCGTGCGCTGCTTCTGTGGGGAAGATGCGTGGCATTGGCCAGGCAATTCGCAAAGCAGCTGGATGGACAAGTGGGTGCTGTTCCAGCCCCACCTTGAATTGACACATACAGACCCTGGACCAGTTGCAAGAAACGCTGAATCATTCTAACCTTTATACACAGATTCTACAAAAGTTTAATGAACATCACAACGGTGTTCACCGACACTCTGGTGGTGTTCCCAGTCCCAGCCAAGGCACATGTCAATGATTGGGACCCACTTCTCCGCAGGCTTCGCCTGGGGGAATCCACCCACGCTTCCAGCCACGAAGCTTCACTGCTGGCCTTCCTTCAAGAATGGCTCCCTCACCTGGAAACTGTGAAAACCCCAACGTTGAACACCCAAAAGAATGGGCCATTGCAAAATTGTAAAGAGAAAAACTCTCTCTTTGGCCACCACCCACATACATGACATACACATTCCAGTCGCTCCACCATGCTCCACCCCCTCGTGCCTTCCCAGGCCCCCCGTCCACCGCCCAGGTGCGTTGGGATCCGCCAGCTCCGCCCAGGCCGGTGGGAAGCCAGGGCCACTCTTGGCGCGCGCGGCAAAGCGCGACACCGCCTGGCTTTTCGGAGTCGCAGAATCTGTTCTTCTCCACAGCTGGAGGGGCGAGTCGACCAGTCTTTTTGGAATTCCGTGAGCTGAGTCGACGAACTGAGAATGGCTGCGCGAAGAAAGCACGTTCGCATCAAACAGGGCGAAGGTTGCCACGGTCCAGACAACGGAAGATGGGTGACCCCATTAGTTTGGTGTAATTAAAATGGGCCCTCACATGCCCTCACTGCAGACTGGCCGCTGCAAGTCTGACCCACTGCCACAATCAGAACCTTCAGATGTTGGGTGCCTTCATCTATCCGACAGCTTCATGTGCATCAACCCCCCCTCAATTCCATGTCCAAAACTCCCCCAACAAACAACCCTCATACCCATCCCTACACTACCCAAAAAAATGCATGTCATGTGCCACCTCGCCAACCCCAACCCCTACCGTCCGGCCTCGTGATTGTGGATCAGCCGCTCCGCCGCCTCGTGGCGTGCATCTCTCGAAGAGATCCAGGACCATTCCGGCTCCACAGACGTCTTGAGCGGAAGCCTCAGACGCTTGGCTCAGTCCAACCCTGCACGGCTCAGTACAGCCTGATTCCGCCGAAGTCTCTAAAGTCTCCCCCCAAAGACCCAACCATGCCACTGATACCCAGCCCCCCCCCGCCCATTCTTCCCAAGGCGCTTCCAGTCTCCACCATCCACCGCCTCGCGGATCTCCTGACCACCCGGCTCTGACTGACAGCCGCCCAGTTGGGGTGGCAGGTCGTGGCTGTGAGTGTAGTAGTCCGACTTGGTGGCCCTGTAGCTGTCCCGCCTTGCTGTGCCGCGTGCCGCCCGTTTGGACCCATCGACTCTTCCGCCAGACCCACAAGAAGGAAAAGGCACTCAACAGTCAAAAGTCCGGTGACAAAAACTCCCCCACTACGTCCAGCCAGGTGCAAGCCGAAGGGCGTCTCCATGGCGTCAAACCAGCGGTTGATCGCAGGAAAAAGCAGCTTCTCCCTGATGTTGTAGCCCTGGTGAGGGGATCGGGCCCTCGCTGGGTCTCGCTGGGTGCCGGTCTGGCTGCCCTTGAAGAGCAGCCATGAAATGCCAAGCCTCAAAGGACAATATTGGGCGAAACATGCCAGAATGAACGTAGACAGCCCACATGAGGCAAGATCTTCATGAATATCAAGACAATTGCGCAAAAAGTTGTGTCCAGTGTGAAGAATGCCACTCGACAACTGGCCCATCCACGCAGACGGTCGCTTCCAACCTTGAAGTAAGCTAGGGATGCCACTGCGCGCTCGATGAAGGGGGTGTACCTCTTCAAATCAGACCGGTCTTGAACAAA